AAATGCCAAGCCACACACTGAACCCTAGAATTCCTTTGCATTCATTTAGACAAATAGTTCTCAACCTTCCTAATGCTGTGACCCTTTCATACAGTTCAGTTCATGTTGTGGTGACTCCCAACCATAAAATTATTTATGTTTTTAATTCACAACTATAATTTTTCTACTTCTATGAATCATAATGTATATATCTGACATGCAACCCCAAAAGGGTCGTGACCCACTTTTTTATTTAAAAAAAATAATTTATTTAACTTTATTTTATGTACATTGGTTTGAAGGTGTCAGATCCCCTGGAACTGGAGTTACAGACAGTTGTTAGCTGTCATGTGGGTGCTAGGAATTGAACCTGGGTCCTCTGGAAGAGCAGTTAGCGCTCTTAACCACTGAGCCATTTCTCCAGCCTGTGACCCACCTTTTGAGAACTGCTAATTTAGACTAGCCTAGCCTTGGCCTGTCCATTCCCACAGGCCTAATACCCTCCCGACTTACCCACAACTCGGAGAGGAAAATGAAGCTCTAATTTTTCAGAGGTGCCCTGTTCCCTGACATCCCCTGAGGACACATCCTCTCATCCCAGCTACTATGGGAAAGGAGGGTAGCAATCATAGGTTCAATTGTAGATATTTTGGCTACCAATAATTCCTGACACTGTACAGTTTATAATTAGGTTAACATAAAACTTCCTTACAAGATGGGAGTGATGGCACATGCCTTTAATCCCAGCATTAGGGAAGCAGAAGCAGGAGGATCTCTGTTCGTTTCAGGTCATCCAGGGTTATATAGTGAGACCCTGTCTTACAAACAAACAAAAACAAACTTCTTTAAAGTTCTAGAAACTTATACCCTCAATTCAGGAATCCAAATGTTATATTTCAACGACCTAAGAATGCTTCCTAATTAAAAAGTACTGTAGGTTAATCCCAGCACCTGGGAGGCAGAGGCAGGCCAAGTTCCAGGCCAGCCAGGGCTATTAAAAACAAAATTACTGTAGGAACACTAAGACGCAGCTCAGTGACAAACCACTTGCTTAGCTTAAGTGATGCTTTGTTAACAATTCTTAGCACCTAAAACAAAACAAAAAGTAACCATAGTCAAGTCTCCAAAATCATCAAATTACATGTTGGGTAATGTAGCTTTCTCAGTGTCAATCATACTGCAATAACATAGTTTTAAGTAACATTAAGTGTAGTAGCCAGTATCTGTAATCTCAGTATTTAGAAGGCTGAAGCAGGAGGGTAAAGAATTTGAGGTCATGGTAACTGATCTACATAGTTTCAGATCAGCCTAGTATTTTAAGTCAGCCTGGGCAATGGAACCACCATATACACACACTGCCCTCCAGAGGCACAAATACGGAGCCATCCAGGAGAATCACTGGGATCTAAGCAGTTCTTTCAGGATCTAGGTGACGTCATCTGGTGCGCCATCAAGACCCACCTGGAGGAAGATAAAGTCTTGGACCAAACAAGAACTTCAGCTTCCCCGTTAATTCCCCACTGTCCTCTTTAGCCCTCAAAAGTTATCAAAGCTTTGAACACATTTCCTCAAGGGCAAAAAAAAAAAAAAAAAAAAAAAAGGCAGCTTCCTCCCTCCTTCACAAGTTCCCAGGCTTTTCATAATGTGGTGTTTGCCATTTCTCCACATAGCAAACTGGTAGTTACCCAGATAAACCATGTGGTCTCATAATCCACACAACCCTACTCCCCAGCTTTGTTTTTGAAATAGGGTCTCATTATGTAGCCAAACAAGCCTTGAACCTGGGATTCTCCTGCCTCTGCCATACTTTTTGGAATGCCCTTTCCACTCACTAACAACCTCCTCATCTCAGAGAGAGGTAACCTCTAGGTTCCTGGTGTCAGTACAGTGCCACCACTGCCAGGCAAGTCCTTCTTACACACACTCCACCCCCACACCTTTCAGCTGTATCCCAGAGAAGGAACCTGATGATCAGTGTGGATGAAGCCCCTTGGGTAGAGCAGGAAGCCAGCAGGGAAACATGACTAGAAGAGGCAGTTCAAGGTAAGGGACTCCGTCCAGAACGGAGAAAATGCATCGTTCTCCTGCAACATGGGACCCTTGGGAAGTGAGGGGTTAAAAGTGGACAGTGGCTTTTACTTCTCTAGGCTTGTTATAGCTAATCAATAGATGATTGGGAAGAGCCAGTTTCAGCCACAGCACTAAATCACCAATGTGAAAAGTATTAATCTGGATGATGGTTCTTAGGGATTGTAAAACTGACTGCCTGAGACCACGTGAACTAAAGGGGACTAGCTTCCCCCAAGCAACCAAAGAAGAGCAGCTGAGTTTCTGGGCCACTGGTCAGAATGCAGCTGAGGGAAGGGATACCAGACAGACACCGCACATCAGGAGATCACCAGCCCTCAGTTCCCTTTTATTTAAAAACTTTCAATTGTATTTAATTTATTTTTATGTGGTGGAGAATGACTGTCAGGGTGTACACGCAGAGTCTAGAGGACACTTCCAGGAATCCATTCTCCTTCCACCATGTGGGCTCCAAGGACCAGGCCATCATCAGGCTTGGTAACAAACACCTTTACCCACTGAGCCATTCACCAGTTCTACTTTATTCTTAAATACAAAATGCTTCATGAATTTTCATTTCTTCTTTAACAGAGCCACGCTAACTACTCTATTTTGTTCTAATTTTAGTGTGTTACCAAAATGAGGACCTGCTGACCACCAAAAATCTGCTAAACACTAAATTCAAGTCGACGTCCTTCTGCTGGTAGCACTCAGGACTTTCTGAACCACCAAGGCTACAGTATGCCTCAAGGCCCAGAGGAGGAAGAGCGGTGACTCTAGTTTCTGAATATCCTACCCTTTCTCCCAGAAAGGGAATTTTTAAAAGTAGCCAAGACACAGCTGAGCGGTGGTGGCACAAGCCTTTAATCCCAGCACTTGGGGCCCAGAGGCAGGAGGATCTCTGAGTTCGAGGCTAGCCTAGCCTGGTCTACAGAGTGAGTTCCAGGACATCAGGATAACACAGAGAAACCCTGCCCCGAAAAACCAAACAAACAAACAAACAAACAAAAGTAGCCAAGGCCCATACACTTTTTCTAACTCTTCAGTGTGGCCACATGGTTAATTACCACCCAGGACAGTGGGTCTGAGGATCTGTGCAGCCCCTGCGGAAGGTCAACCTTTCAAGAGATGCACGATTTGGGGTCATCCTTGCACAACACTGCCCAATCCCAACTTCAGGACAAGGGAGAAAACAAGCTGAGATCACAGACACACCAGCAAACAACCCGCTCATTACTCCCCCAAATCTCAGGGAGGAGTCTAAAATTCCGGTAGATCAGAATGGGGTGAAGGACCCCAAAGCAAGGAGCCTGCAGACATTAAGGTCCAAAGAGAACAAAGCCAACAGAAACCAAAACCAGTCACGCTCCAGAGCTCCTAGCAGAGATGTCAGGCCCTCCCTTCCCATCGTTTGAGTGAAGCGAATTGCTGCCTCTAATTCTCTGCCTCCCTGTGCCCAAAGCAGGATAGGAGCGTAGGTTATCAAGATGGCAGGTCACTGGTGCATTGAGGTTGAAAGCAGGCCCCCGCTGGCCCTGCCCAACAGTGGACCATTGGCGGGCGACTCATAGCACAACCAGCAAGAAACATTAGGGCCTCTGCGGTTTCTACCCCAGACCAAAGGGAAGGGCGCTAGGGCTGGATAACTGACCCTTAGTTTCCTGGGTAAGAGCATGCCAGGGCGGGGCAGGAAGGGTCTCTCAGCCCTAGGGTGACACAGCACACGTCAAAGACGCTGCCTAGGAACCCAGAAGCCTGTTCCCTTTTCATACTGAGTCTGTTCGCCTGCCCTGCCTGGCTTCCATTCGCGGCTACCTTTCAAGTGTTTACCCCCACGTGTGCATCGTCCTCGCCAGTCCAGGCAGCCGGCGGGCGCTAGGGGTTCCTCGACGCGGTCTCCTAAGCCCTTCTTTCAGCACAGGGCGGTTGGACACAGTGATGTCACCTCTCTTTGGAGGATCCCACCCAGGGTAGTGTGGGGTCCCGGCTTGGCTACTAGGTCAAAGGGCGAGAGCAGGGAATACTTGGTGTTTCCAAGTTCTCTTTCCTGATTGTAATTAATGAAATTGCCGGCTCATCTCGGTGGAAGCCTAAGCTCTGGGGCTGGGAGGGGAGCCCGCCTGGCCGCCCGTCGAGAACCCAGGCGCAGAGCAGCTGGCCCGGCCTCCAAGGTCACGGGAAGGGGTCAGGGTAGGAAAGCCGGAGGGTGAGCGTGCTTCCCGCGTGCCCACCTCGAGAATCCCTCCTCAGCTCCCCGGGGCGGGGGTCCAGGCCACCCACGAGGCGCTCCTCAGCCGAACAGCACGCACACGCGCGCGAGCCGGACCCGGCGTGGGGAACGAGGGCAGCGGCCGTGGGCCCCGTGTGAGGCGCCGCAAGCCCACCACGGGGGACGCACGGATGGC